CTAGTGAAGATGAAGATTTGCCTGATCTTGCTACTGAAGCAGATCGAGGTCTGCAGTTTATTCAAAGCCGCAGAAAGGAAAGAGATCCATTTGGGTTGTATGATCATGTCATCATGGACAGTGGTTGCACCACCATTTGTAATGGTGAGCTTATGCATGGACTCCGTCATGCTAAGAAAGAACTTGACATGCACACTAAGGTTTTCTAGGAAGATTTCCACCTCCAGTTTATCATGATGAAGATGGAATTGCCAATGTACTTGCTATGCGCGAGATGATTGCTGCGGGATACCGCATTACTTTGGATACTGATGCTGACAATGCTTTTATTGAGCATTGTGATGGAAACAGAAAGATGCGATTTGTGAATCGTAAGGGTATGTATGTGTTGGAGCAACTTGGAGCAAATGTCAAACCAGGTGCCAAAGAGACAAGTGTGGTGTACCGTCGCCAGTTAAGCAACTTAAATAATCAACCCCATTTTGAACTTTCTTCAAACAAACGGATATGCTGGACTCGAGATGACCTCCAAGATGACAACCGTTTGAAAGACCTGGCGCCTCTACATTGAAAGGCAAGTCAACAAGACCAACTCCGAAGAAGAGGTACAACGACTTCTTCAGTCCACCAGAGGAATTATATCAGCACAATCAATCTATTACCGTCTGTATTGATCACATGGAGATCGAGAATGCTAAGTTTCTCACCTGCATTGATACCACTGTGCGCTATCGCTCATGTAATCCCATGCAGAACCTGAAGACTGACCCTGAATTTGAAGCATTGGATAAGATATTCCGCCGCTACAACAAGGCAGGCTTTCAAGTCAAGATCATCAAGTGTGATCGGGCGTTCATTCCTCTCACGGATGATATGCTAGACAATATGGGTGATACTACAAGAGTGACATGGTTGCTGAACTTGGACAATATGTTCATGCAATTGGAACGGATTCCAACAATTTGATGGAACCCCGAAGTATCGAAGCAATTTACATCGAACCAACGAAGGGACAACGTACAGGGCACCCAGTGCTCAACCTGAATACTAAGAAGATGATTTCCCGACCCAAGGTCGTTGTACTACCAGTTACCGTTGGGCTGCTCCCAAAGGTGTTACTTCCATGAAGTTCTTCGATAAGAAGAGAGATTTGGAGACATTTCAAGATGGCGATCAAATTGCAGGAGTGGATGACACGGAACAAGGTTACTTAGAAGAAGCCTTTGATCAGGACTATGAACCTGAAGATGAAGATGAACGTGACTTCAACCTACGTGGACAATTGGATGATATCGATGACTCCAAAAGAGAAGAGCTCTTGGCAGATGCAGACAATGATGTCGATGATATGCCAGAACTCACTGTCAGATTCCGTGGAGATGACGACTATGAATCAGACGACGATTCGGGTGATGAAGGCGATGAAGAGGAAGAACCTATTGTGGCCGATTTGGATCACCATCAAGAAAATGTCGATAGAGGAACCGATGATACGGGGAGCCTCGTTACTGATCTGGAGGCCCTACAAGAGCCGCCAGAAGAAGAGATTGTATTTGAGCCTGAAGAAAGGCCTCAAGTAGCAAAAGTCACTCGATCTGGGCAAACGTATGCGCAAGCTGCAATGTCTGGGCTAAACCTTTCTCAAGTTCCAAAGAAACCAAGAGAATGGCCTTCAACCAGGAGTGGCAGTTCTGCCAATAAGAACAAGAATTGAGTTGCGACAAGACGCAAGCATCGAGAAAGAGAATTGAAACCGTTGAAGAACAAGTTAAAATGGTATTTGTACCAAAGAAGGAAGTCGCAGTACTAAAGACAGTAAAGCTATCCTTGAAGCAAAGCACAATCTATGTTTCCAACAGATTGGGAATGAGATGAAAGCTGATTATGAAGAGCACGAAGCTATTCTGATCGCTCGTTCCATGATGCAGATCAAGGCCAAGTTTGATACTGACGGAGGTCTGAACTTCATTCAACAGTATTACATCAATCAGGGACTTCAGAAGTTTGGTGACGATGGAAAGGATGCTGTGGATAAGGAATTGAGACAAATGCTCCTGAGAGATTGTTTTACTCCCAAATTTGTTAAAGACATGACCGCTTCTGAGCAAAAGAAGGCCCAATCAGCGATGATGTTACTCGCGGAAAAGCAATTTGAAAAGACACTGCAAGTCCAACTGCTTCGCAGGAAGCAATCACCACTACTTGTGTTATTGATGCACATGAAGGTAGAGATATAATCACAATGGACATGCCTAACGCTTTCACTCAAACTTATATGCCTGATGCTAAGGAAGGAGAAGATCGCGTCTACATGAAAATCACTGGCATGATGGTCCAGATATTGATTGACATGGCCCCAGAGTATCGCGAATACGTTGTATTAGAGAACGGA